TTTGGGCGTAAGCCTCCCAGGACAGTCAAGCTTATGTTTGAAAAAGCCAACGAATACGCCAAAGCTGAAGACGCCGTCACCGCATCAAAGCAGTCGGGTCCCAGTTGGAAGCAAAACAAGGGTACGCCGGCTACGGGAGGAGGTGGAAGTAACAATCATAAGGACCGCAAGCGTAAGCCTGCGGAACTTGTTGCAACCGCCAGTCACTCTTCTCGACAGCGTTCGCGCGTCAACACGTTCGACAAGATCATGAACTCCCAATGCCCACACCATCCTAACTCCAACCACGTGGCCAAAGATTGTTTCGTCTACAAGCAATTTGCGGATCAATACACCAAGACTGCACGGAAGAACACCGACGAAGAACAAAGCACGTCGAGGAAGAAGGACGACGGCGACACCCCGGCAGGTTTTCAAGATCACCGCAAGGAGCTCAACCATATCTTCGGCGGCCCCCTGGCTTATCAGTCTAAACGGAAGCAGAAGTTGACTGAACGGGAGATCAATGCTGTTCAGCCTGACACGCCCCAGTATCTTCGATGGTCAGAAATTGCAATCAAGTTTGACCGCTCGGATCATCCTGACCGAGTGGTCCACCCGGGGCGGTACCCCCTGGTACTAGACCCAGTGGTCCGTAATGTCAAGCTTCGCAGAACCCTCATTGACGGTGGCAGCGCACTCAACATCCTTTTCGCCAAGACCTTGGATGATATGCAGATTCCTCGCTCCGAGCTGAAACCAAGCAATGCGCCTTTTCACGGAGTAATTCCAGGATTATCCGCAACTCCACTCGGCCAGATCACCCTCCCGGTCACTTTTGGCACTCGGGAAAACTTTCGCACAGAGAATATCAGCTTCGAAGTCGCCGATTTCGAGACAGCTTACCATGCCATACTCGGACGCCCGGCGTTAGCCAAGTTCATGGCCGTCCCGCACTACACTTACATGATGATGAAGATGCCTGGTCCCCGAGGAGTGCTATCCCTACGGAGCGACATCAAGCAAGCCGTCACATGCGACAAGGAGAGTTGCGACATGGCCCAAACTCGCGAGATGGCGTCTGCCCGAGAGGACATCCGACTGGCTGCTGCCACGGCGAGCGAAGGAGAAATACCTGCCACCAAGACTTCAAAAAGTGGAGAAAGCGAAGCCAAGACTAAGAAGATTCCCCTAGATCCCTCTGATTCTACTAAAACTGCTGTAATAGGCGCCGAGTTAGATTGTAAATAGGAAAGCGCGCTCATCACCTTTCTTCAGAATAATAAAGATATCTTTGCGTGGAAACCATCGGATATGCCCGGTATTCCTAGAGAGGTGATTGAGCACTCCTTACATGTCAAAGAAGATGCCAAGCCGATCAAACAACGACTCCGCCGATTCGCACAAGACAGGAAGGACGCAATCAAGGAGGAATTAACCAAGCTGTTAGCAGCAGGCTTCATCAAAGAAGTTCTTCATCCCGATTGGCTGGCAAACCCGGTTCTAGTTCGGAAGAAAACAGGGCAATGGCGCATGTGTGTTGATTATACCGACCTCAACAAGTCTTGCCCCAAAGATCCTTTTGGGTTGCCTCGCATTGACCAGGTAGTTGACTCAACCGCCGGCTGTGAGCTTCTCAGTTTTTTGGACTGCTACTCGGGGTATCATCAGATCCGACTGAAGGAATCCGACTGCTTGAAGACTTCATTCATCACGCCTTTTGGGGCATACTGCTACGTCACCATGCCGTTCGGACTAAAAAACGCAGGAGCAACTTATCAACGTATGATCCAAAGATGCTTCTCAACGCAGATCGGCCGCAACGTTGAAGCCTATGTGGATGACGTAGTCGTCAAGACCAAGCAAAAGGATGATTTGATCTCGGATCTAGAAGAAACCTTTGCGAGCATCCGTGCTTTCAGGATGAAATTGAACCCTGAAAAGTGCACCTTCGGAGTACCGTCAGGAAAGCTGCTTGGCTTTATGGTGTCTCATAGGGGCATCCAAGCCAACCCGGAGAAAGTTACTGCTATCCTCAACATGAAACCACCAAGTACCCAGAAAGATGTTCAGAAGCTGACTGGATGCATGGCGGCGCTCAGCCGATTTGTTTCACGACTTGGCGAGCGGGGGATGCCCTTCTTTAAGCTGCTGAAGAAAACAGATAGCTTCCGGTGGGGACCCGAAGCACAGAAGGCCTTCGAAGATTTCAAAAAACTCCTCACCGAGCCACCAGTCTTAGCCTCACCACGCCCGAAGGAGCCGTTGTTGCTGTATGTATCAGCCACCTCTCAGGTTGTGAGCACAGTCTTGGTCGTTGAGCGCGAGGAAGAAGGCCATGTCCAGAAAGTCCAGCGACCGATTTACTTTGTCAGCGAGGTCCTAGCCGACTCCAAAACGAGGTACCCTCAGGTTCAAAAGCTGTTATATGGTATTCTAATTACTACCAGGAAGCTATCTCACTACTTTCAAGGTCACTCGGTAACGGTGGTCACATCATTTCCACTCGGTGATATACTGCACAACCGCGAAGCGAACGGACGTATTGCTAAGTGGGCTTTGGAGTTGATGTCTTTGGACATATCATTCAAGCCCCGAATTTCAATCAAGTCCCAAGCGTTAGCTGATTTTGTCGCCGAATGGACCGAGCGCCAAGAGGATACCTCCGCGGAGAACATGGAGCATTGGACCATGCATTTTGACGGATCCAAACGACTTTCGGGCACTGGAGCAGGAGTGGTTTTGATTTCCCCAACTGGAGAAAGATTAAGCTATGTACTTTGGATACATTTTTCGGCGTCCCACAATGTCGCCGAGTATGAGGCCCTCCTTCATGGACTACGGATTGCAATTTCCCTAGGGATAAAGCGTCTAATAGTTCGAGTTGATTCACAGCTGGTTGTCAACCAAGTTATGAAAGAGTGGTCCTGCCTTGACGACAATATGATGGCATATCGACAAGAGGTGCGCAAATTGGAAGACAAGTTCGATGGACTCGAGCTCAGTCACGTTCTTCGACACAACAATGAAGCCGCCGACAGACTTGCCAATTTTGGATCCAAGCGCGAGACGGCGCCCTCAGATGTTTTCGTCGAACACCTTTACACACCGACCGTACCTCATAAAGATACTATTCAAGATGCGGACACTCATGACGTGGCTATGGTTGAAGCCGACTGGCGAGAGCCCTTCATACGATTTTTAATTTCTCAAGAACTCCCTCAAGATAAAGATGAAGCCGAGCGGATTTCAAGGCGGAGCAAACTTTATGTTATGCATGAATCTGAGCTATACAAGAAAAGCCCTTCAGGAATTCTGCAACGCTGCGTATCTTTAGAGGAAGGGAGACAATTGCTGAAAGATATACATTCTGGGATTTGCGGAAACCATGCCGCTGCACGCACCATTGTCGGCAAAGCTTACCGGCAGGGTTTTTTCTGGCCTACTGCAGTGTCCGACGCCGACAAGATTGTGCGCACGTGCGAAGGTTGCCAATTTTTCGCCAGACAAATTCATCTACCAGCTCAAGAGTTGCAGACTATCCCGCTGTCTTGGCCGTTTGCGGTTTGGGGGCTTGACATGGTTGGCCCGTTTAAAAAGGCAGTCGGCGGTTACACGCATCTCTTTGTGGCCATTGACAAATTCTCCAAGTGGATTGAAGCTAAACCGGTTGTCACAATCACAGCAGATAATGCTCGAGACTTCTTCATCAACATTGTGCATAGATTTGGAGTGCCCAATCGGATAATCACTGATAATGGCACACAATTCACTGGCGGAGTTTTTAAAGACTTTTGTGAGGACTTTGGAATTAAGATTTGCTACGCCTCAGTGGCACACCCCATGAGCAATGGACAGGTGGAGCGAGCTAATGGCATGATACTTCAAGGGATTAAAGCGCGTGTCTTTGACCGGCTAAAACCCTATGCCGGCAAATGGGTACAACAGCTGCCATCGGTACTTTGGTCTTTGCGAACTACACCCAGTCGGGCCACAGGCCAGTCACCTTTTTTCCTTGTCTATGGGGCAGAAGCAATGTTGCCAAGTGAAGTTGAATTCGAGTCTTTGCGCTTTCGAAATTTCCGTGAAGATCGCTACGAAGAGGACCGAGTGGATGACTTGCACCGATTGGAAGAAGTCCGCGAAGCAGCTTTGATTCGGTCGGCTCGATATTTACAAGGGTTGCGGCGCTATCATAATCGCAATGTTCGATCTCGTGCCTTTTTAGTCGGTGATCTGGTTTTGAGGAAAATTCAAACTACACGAGATCGGCACAAGTTATCTCCTCTATGGGAAGGGCCATTTATTATCTCTGAAGTCACCCGGCCAGGTTCTTATCGACTCAAGCGCGAAGACGGTACTCTTGTCGACAACTCTTGGAACATTGAACATCTTCGTCGTTTCTATGCTTAAGCTTATCATTGTATTTCCCTATCTTGACTGTCAACATCAAGTTTTCTTCTTGCCGTTGTCAGTCGGGGGCTATCATCATAATAATGGAGTGTGATTTTTTATCAATTCAGTTTGCTTACTTGGTTTATCATTGCCTTGTTTGGTTTTTCTACTCAGTTTGCGAGGACTGAAAGTTTTTTAATAGCTTCTTTGGGTTTTAGGCTCAACAAAGCTTAACAAAAACTTTTAAGAAATCAAAAACTTGGCAAGACTCATCAAGCACAGCATAAATACACCAGTATTGTACAAATTGAGCCTCCATGCATTACATTCATGATCAGTCAGAATCAGTCATTTCATCATCAGAGTCATTGTTACTCGGTTGGAGGTCGTTGTTGCGGAATTGCTCTACGACATCACTTGCAATTTTGTCAGCCGCATTTTGTGCACTGCTGATAAGATCAAGAGCAGCTTCTTCACTTGTCCCGTTTGCAAAGCCATCAATGGTGTCAACTTCAATTCTCGGGTACGATTTTGTCATCGCCAAGGCCATGCTAGCTCCCATACTTCCAGCTTTCTTGATATTCTTGAAATATACATCCGGAGCAACACTCAGCTTGTCGAATATTTCGGTTGCGTCGAGTGCACTCGGACCACTGTTATTGAGGAACATAGCTTGGATGAGTGGTGCAGCGACATTGGCGACTTCATCTCTTGCTCCTTCAAGCCTCTTGATCTTACCAACCAGGACATCAAATTGAGCTTGAGACTTGATTTTACGGTCTACACAACACATTTATAATAAGAATCTACTGCATTAAAAAGAGGAAAGTTCAGATCATCAGCCGGCAGTACCTTCAACTTCTTTCAAGGCTGAGTCCCTTTCTGCAGCCAATTCTGCTTTGTCTTTTTTCAAGGCTTCAATCTGTTTCTCCATCTGAGCCATTCTGGTGGCTTGCGCTGTTTGAAATCCAAGTGTTTGAGGATGCAATTATGACAGCATAAATCAATGGAACAGATCTGGATGATTACCTTTTGATGAACCACTTAGCTCGAAGTTTGAATCCTGGAGCTGGGCAATTCGGTCCCTTAACTCCTTCTCTGTCTTTTTGGCGCACTCCTTGGCCTCATGCAGCTGGTCCCTAACTGCTTCTAGAGTTCCCAAATGAGGAACCAGCTTTTCCAAAGTTGTAGTCTTGGCCTCATTGCGAAGATGGATTCTCTGCATGATGGATCATGGTTCAGTTCTACTAAAGAGAGAACAAAGTTATTAAAGGCAGTCACCCGGAAGATTTACATTCACAATGCGAGTGGCTTCTCCAAGTGCTTTCTTCAGCTGGCACACTTCCTCATCTTCTTTTTGACGATTTATAACGATGCCGGCAACTTGCGAGTTCTCGTCCCACCATTTGAGCAAGATAGGAGGACGGGAGTCATCAGCCGCCTTTATGCGAGGAATTATTTCTTCGTCATCGCCTAGTGTTCCTGATGTATTTCCAAGACATTAGACGAGTAAGCTGAAGTTATTTAAATCGGCATCACTTGAGAAGATGTGTTACCTGAGGATGTTCCTGGCTGAACATGAGGTGGTCCTTGTTCTTTATTTAGAGACCCAATCATTGAGTCTTTACCAGCCTCTGGTCCTTGGGAAGTTGTCGTTTGCGCTTCAACTTCCGGGATTTCTTCATCGGGACCTACATCCGACTGGTTTCCAGTCGGGGGCTCTTGTGTTGTTGCAGTTTCAGCTGTTGCCGACTGGTCTCCAGTTGGCGGCTGGTCACTCGGATCGGCTTTGTCATCCGAAGCATGGGCGCCAGCCGGCTGGTTTTCGGCAGTCGGCTGGCTTTCGGCAGTCGGCTGGTTTTCGGCAGACGGCTCAGTGTCTTTGGATAAATTTGGCTCTGTCACAGCCGGATCAGGATCTTTTCCAGTTGGATCTATGTCGGACGGTTTCCTGCAAAGCGTCCTTTCGATACTCAGCATAATTTCTATAAGGGAAGCATGCCGAAACAAGATGGTACCGAGAAGTTTATACCTGGAAGATGTTCTAATCTTTGGCATTTGACGGCCAGCCAGTTTTTTCCTGGGCATGGTATGCTTTGGGAGTTTGTTGGGCGTGCCCTTGTCCCCAGATTTGTTGCTGTCATCGCCCTCATCGTCATTAAGCACCAGCTTTCTCTTGCGAGGACCTGTCTGACCAGCCGGTTTGGAGGTTTGAGGTTGTGGGTCTGACCTGATTGTCGGCCCTCCACTTCCCTGAATGGTGTGCTGGCGAGGAGATCGGCGCTGAGCAATTGGGGGATCAGATTTCATCAATACGTAATCCTGAATGAGATGCCTCCATGGTTAGTTAACTCAACATGAAGACAAGATACTATTTTGGTCATAAGTTGAAGATTTCAGATACATACCTGCGGAGGCGGATTGAATGCATTATATGGCACAACTGGCAGCTGGTGTGAATAGCTAACGACAATGGCATTTGAGAAGATTTTATACATTCTCTCCTTCATGATTTTGAAATCCAGAGAGTCTGGTTCTTCGCGATTAGGATCGTGCTTGCCGTCAAACTCAAAAGCTGTACGGGATCTTTCTTTAATTGGCGCCAGTCGGCATTTAATGAAATGCCGAGTGATCTGCTCTCCTTGCAAGCCTTGTTCTTTGAGTTTTAACATGCGATCCAACAATTCCAAGGCTTGGGCAGCTTCATCTCCGATTGGAAGAGAGTTCCAAGTATCTTGGTACACCGGGGGAAGACAAAAGTATTCGGGAAGAGCAGGCTCAGGATTCTGAACATAAAACCAGTTCGCATGCCATCCTTTGTTTGAAGTCTTGAAGGGCATAGAGAAATACTTTTGGCTCAGAGTTCCCCTCAGCTGGAATCCTGCCCCCCCGACTACACATGGCTTACTCTTGTTTGGTTGGGGTTTGAGGAAGAAGATCCGGCGAAACAGGGCAAAGTGAGGCTTGATTCCCAAAAAGGCTTCACAAACATGGACGAAATTGGCGATGTGCACTATGGAATTTGGGTTTAGATGATGCAAGCTGATTCCATAGAAGTTCAAGATCCCGCGGAAAAATTTCGAGGTCGGAAGAGCGAAGCCGCCGTAGAAGAAATGCGAGAAGACCACAATCTCGTGTGTATCGGGGGTCGGAAAAATCTCACCGCACGCTGGCCGCCACCCGATGATCTCCTTAGCAGGGAGAACGCCGTGCGCCACCATCTCCTTCAGGTTCTCTTCCGTTACGTCAGACGGCGCCCATTGGCTTTCGAAGCTTTCTCTCTCTTCCGCCATCGAGTTTCCTCAAATGCGCTGATTTGATTCGAGGGATGGCTTGGGAGAGGTGAGGAATTGAGGCGGTGGATCACGGGAAGGATTTTGATCACTTTTTGAAGGTGGATTTGGGTGGATTGGTGAACCCTAGTTCGCCGGCGCAGTTCTGCACTGTAGCAAGGAGTGGGGAAAATGGCGAGAGTTCCGGCGGGGAAGACGAAGCGTCGCTTGTATCTCGGATTTCTTGTTAAGGGTATCGGAGGTGCAAATGGGCCTAGGCCTGAACAGTACTTCAGCCCAATACTTTTAACAGCGTGGCCCATTGTGTTCCTTAGGGACTTAGGCATATTTTGCTTTGGCAATATTATGCGCACAATAGTGTTGCCCGATGCTGATAAAATCCTTTTTATGCGGTCATATAATTCTTTGGAATTATTGCAATGCAAATTAAAAGGTGCCCGACAGAAAGGTGTTATACCGCTTTTTTGTTAGCTTTATTAGGCTACAAAAGCTGTCTGGGTTAATCTGGAATGACTTGTTTTTATCATAGTCACTTCCTTGGTATGTTATATACCTATTTTCATTATGGTAAATAGTCATAGCCTAGGCTATTAGACTTATTCATTACCATAATTTTTTATAATACTTGGTGGGTGATCTTTAGAGTTTTATATTCGGATGCCTGTCCAGTGTGTTCATTCGTGAACCTTTTAGAGTGTAAACCACTCGGACTCTTTTTGTTATGGCTAAAAAGCAGTCGGCTAGAATGCCTCTTTAGGCGCCGCGTATGCTTTTGCCATCTGATGCGTGATTGTGCTATTATTTTGTTCTCAACTATATGTTTAGTTTGTTAACTAATCACATAGTTGGGGGCTACACCTAATTAGGTGCATCTATTCGATGCACCATGTTCTTTATCTTTTCGCCCTTTACAGTCTTCGTCTTCGCTACTCGGTGGGCCTTGGCATGAATAATCTGAAGCACTCGGATTGCTATCTTTGAGAAGGCTACGATGGTTGACTGCAAAGGTCTCGGGGGCTACTGTGGAGATTATGGATATCCCATATCTACACGGCGATACTATTTGGGCTGGATATAGGATACCGAATATGTATAGAATATCTTATTTGTATCTCGGGTTTGTTTCTTAACTTGTATGCCAAGGAAACACCTTGAGATTTAGTCGGTTACGGCTGTATTTTATCTGTGTCTGCATATTCCGTTAGGGATATAGATTGTCTTTTGTAACTCGGACTCCTTCCCATATATAAGGGGGGTCCGGGTGCCTCTAGGGGCAGAGGTTGATTTTCCCTAAATCATACAATCAATAATACACTCGGCGGATTCATCCCCGGACAGGAGTAGGGTATTACTTCTTTTATAAGAAGGCCTGAACCTGTATAAATCCTTTGTCTCCAAACCCATACACTTTCCTAGCTTGATAGCCACCCCCTTTTATTATTGCCGAAATCTAGTTTCGACAGGTACATTGCTCGGCTTGCCCATAACCGAGGGCGCGGCTATTCGAATAGGTTTTACTCTGATTAGAGGTGTACATCTTTACCCACAAGACACATCTTCCTCACATGTAACCACGTGCCACATACCACCACGATATACAGACGGAAGACGTGACATAGTTTCCAACCCATCCTAGCCATAGACAAGAGTACCGACCCAATCCCACCTACGGCCGGAACCCCCGGGACAGGCAGGCAGGACTGAGCCCCTAGCAGCAGGACACCGGCCCTGTGCCATGACATCTCGACTACCGGGCCGCAGCTCGTGTAGCCTTCATTTGCCCTGGAGAATGTCCATCGACCCCCGACTTCATCCATCTCCATCCGTGTACTTTTGTTTATAACCAGACTGAGCCACAAACTAAGCCTTACCCACTAGACATGTGGAAGTACGGTAGTGCTTTGCAACAGAGGCCCGAAGACCGGTCCTTATATGGCCGAGGTGCTACTATCAAAACCATACACCCCGAGCCTAGCCTAAAACCATTTTTGGGGATTTTGAATAGAGGGGGAGGTGTGAATCCAATTCCACAATGATCCAACAATTCCAGTGTGTCCAGGTGATATGAATATTCCCAAAGTCTAGAGTTGTAAAACCACCTAATGTTACCTAATTAAAAAGCGAAGCATCTACCTATAATCATACTAGTGGTACCATGAGTAGAGTGTCCACTAGTTGGGGTTTTGTTTAATCTAGGGTGAACAAGGAAATAATAACAATAGCAATAATAATAAGGTCATAACAAAGGTAAATAGGCATGGCTAAATAAAACAGTGATAACGCGGGAATTTAAATAAAGCGATAGTGCAATAATTTAAATCAACATAATTTTACAAACTGGGATTCAATATGTTCAAAGATGATGTGACTTGCCTTGCTCGCTTTCCCAAACGTCGGCTTCAACTTCCACGAAGAGCGGATCTTCCGAAGCTGCAGCGTCTACACGACCAACGGAAAAGAAAAAGGCTTTTACTCTAATAAACTCCATATAACAAGCAGAAACAAAGCACAAAAATGGGTTCTTGACTTCTTAAGGAAAAATTAGAGACTTGAACGGTCCAATTCCGAGTTCAAATGGCCAAGTTATGGCCATTTGAAGTTTATATGCTCTTTAATTGAATATTTGCGAATTTCTTCATTTAAATTTTAATTTAAAATCGGATTTATTGCGTCAGCCGAGGGGAGGGGCGCGCGGACCGGGTCCACGGGAGTGGGGCCCACGCGGCAGCCTCACGGTCCACGGTGGACCGGGTGCACGCGGCTTACGCCGGCCGGCGCCGTGGGTCCCACGCGTCAGCCGCACCCGAGGGCGCGGG